CAGCTGTGCCACCCAGTTTAAGTCTGACCTGATTTCTGCAACAGCTGAGCTCACCCTTCTCCTTGGTCACCATCTTCTCCCTCGGGCCCTGCTGCCCCCCTCTGAGGCAGTCATCCTGAGGAGAGCCAGGGGAGTCTATACATGTTCTACTGCCTACATTTAAGAAGGAAAAGACTGAGTGCAACTGAAGGCCTGTGTGACACAGGGTTGAAGTCTGCACAGCAAGAGGACACTGGGCTCTGGACCACAACCAAGATGCTATATAAGGCAGCACAGAATTTTCACATGGACAGCTGGAACATAGAACAGATCACATACTGGTGGCCTTTGGGTCTGGAGAAAAACTGAGTAGAAAGGGGACCATAGAATATTCCAGTACATCCTTGCTCACACACAGCTCTGTCCTATTGCGGGATGCTAATGCGAAACCAAACTGGACCATGTTGATCCTTGGGGATGTTCAGTTGCTGGGATTTTTCTTCTCTTAGAAGGGGCCAGTGCTGAGGCAAGGCAGTGAATAGGGAGGAAAATCAAGAGGACTAATAAGCCTTAATAGTTTATTTTGAAACTGTCCCAGAAGCCAGAACAATAAGGAGCTTTTCACATGCACATTACTTGTAATGGGTAAGGGATCTGCCATGATCTGGATTTGAATGTTCCCTAAGACCCCTGTAGTGAAAGCTTGGACCTTAGCCTGTGGTGCTACTGGGAGGTGGTGGTACTTCTAGAAGGTGGGCTGAGTGAAAGGAAGTTGGGCTGCAGAGGACTCATACTTGAAGGGGATGCTGGGACCCCAGGCTTTTCTCCTTCTCTTGGTCTGCTTTCCTCCATGAGGAGAATAAGTTTTCTCTGCCTTGGCCACTATGATTCCTTGACATAGTTCTAAAAGCAACAGGGACTTTGCTTTCCATGGACAGAAATCTCTAAACAAGCAGAAATAAACCTTCATCTTTATAGTTGATCTCCTCAGATACTGGTCATGGCAACAGAAAGCGGGCAGCCACAGATCCCCATATGTGACTCAGTAGAGGACAGTGTCCAAGGTGAAAATATCTTGTAGAGCAAGCAGAGCCGCTCTATGGAGAAAATTACAATAAAGTGGCCATATGCAGGGGTAAACAACGACATGGCTGTCCAGTAGGTTTCTACAGGACAGATATCTTCCAGGGGTAGAGGCTACATGCTTCCAAGTACTTCAGCATTCTGGAAGCAGTGGGACTTAACACAACACAGAGGGAGTCATGGGGAAACCATAGATGCATGAAAATAAAGTTTCCATCAGGCTAATGGGATGGTTCAAGATAGGAGTTAATTTGAATTTCACAGAAAGAAGCAATACTTTTCTTGTAGCTGAAGTTAGAGGCCAAGATTCTCACCAGACTTGTATATTTTGATCCAGCGAGGGAGAGGTGATGCTGAGGGGCCAGGGTAGGGGTTGGTGAATGTGAGATTGTGAAGATCTTCAAGTACTGAAAAGATGGTGTGTCAAAACTGGATCTGGCATGTTTAAAGCAATGCTTGGAAATGATGGTTATCACAGTCAAAATAAAGACATTCATCCTAGTTGTTGGGACTGTCTCACAGCTGAATAATTCTCATTGTCAAGTAGTAAGCAAACTTGCTGCCATTGGGAAGAATTTAATCATTCACAAGGAGAATGGAAAATTAAGATTAGAAAGCCAGGTTTCTAAAATGCTGCAGAAGAAAATCTGACATAGAATGGAGCTGGGCTTACCCTTGTCTCAGGGACAACAAAGGAAGACAATGATAATGTGAGTTTGTCCATCCAGACCTAAATACCTTTTCTACTCTTTGGGAATTTCCTTCCTGGTGAATCTTGATGTCAGACACTCCACTTCACATAGTATTTGGAAAATACTAGAAGGTCACCCTTCTGGCCTCCCTTACCAACAGTTCAGTCCAGAGCATGATGACAATGACACAAGTATCAACCCAAATTAGCTCTTCTGAATGGTATCCAGTGAAAGACATCTCGGCCTTGTTCTTTAGCCTTTGTAGAGAGGCTGTTTTCTGCTCTTCGTGAACATTTACTCCAGAAAATTTCAAACACAGGTGTGAGAATGTACATGCATAAACATATACAACACACACACACACACACACACACACACACACAGAAAACAAATTCATCACATATTCTTAACTAAGGTAGAGCAATAATCAACATTTTCCAATCCTATTGCTTCTACACTCCTCCATTGTTTTCTTTTCCTGAAGTTTCAAAGCAAAAATTTTAGACATTGTGTTACTTCCCCTATAAATTCTTTAGTGTTTTATTCTCTATTACAGCTTCTACAAGAGCATAGATCATCAAGAAGGTTATGGGGCCAAAGAGGAAATTGATCGATGACGTGGAGTGTGCCTAAGGAGAGTCACATGAGGAGAAGACACTCTGTCAGGCTTTCACAGAGAGCACATTGGCCAAGCAATGGCCGTGACTCATCCACATGGCTGCACTGACAAAGGTTCTACAATCTGAGGTACAGGATCTCAGGATAAATCCTGAGGGCATTTCACTGACCTTCTCAAACCAAAAAGCTACAACTCTTGTTGCATAGGTTCTGCTTTACCTTGGTCTTAACCATCCAGTGAAAAGTATGAAGATGAAATATAGGAAGTAAAGCCATGTTGTTATGTTGAGCTGTGGGGGACTCACGTCAATAATTTCTGACATTGCCAATTAAACAGAAGACCCAATGCTATTATGGGCTTCTGTACTCTTTTAGAATATTTTGCTGAGTTTACACACCTATAATATTCAACAACAGAACTAAAAAAAAAATTGGGGTATAACTATGAATGTCCATTTTGTATCTGTGTATTCAAAGTGGTTGGGATAGATATATAGTTGCATTCTCTTAATGAATAGAATGATTTTTTCTAATGGTGTTTGTAAGTAGGATCACAAGTCTGCATCTTGTACAGCAATTAACCACTAAGAAGAATATATGCAGTGTATTATTTGTTGAAACTGTACTTTCGATTTGATTTGAAACTGTCTCATTGCTATATGTTTATCAATAAAACTTTGAAAAGAAAAAAAAAGAGCATAGATCATGATGATGTTATACTGGATGCAATGCACAGCCATTCATTATTGTCGCCCATATGCACCCACAATGCAGTTCCTTCAGTTGTCCTTCTGTGGGTTTCTAGAATCAGGATGCAGTAAATCCCACCACATACCTTTTATTGCTATATTTCTTACATTGCTTTCATTCACCAACAGCCCACTCTCATTTTTTTAGGCAATTGAACTGTTGGTGAAGTAGTTAATTTTCCTTATAGAACTCAGTATCCTTGTAATAAATTTCCTTTCTGCTTCAATGAGCCAGAGTGCATTTGAGTTGATTGCAACTCAGCCTTCAGCCTGAAACATAAGACTTTTAGGGTTCCCATGCTTACAGATGAGGAAATTGAGGTTCATAAGGGTTAAGTAATGTGCAAAGTTTTCAAAGCCAGTAAGTGTCACAGCTGGACCTGGAATTCAAAGAACTTTCCCTCAGTGTGTTCACCATAAACATCAGGATTTCTCCTAGCTCTTATCTGACCTAAATACATCATGCCCCTTTCTTAGTACCAAATATATTTCAGCCAGCAGCACCCCAGAGGCCCAGAGCACCTGGGTTCTCCCTGCCAGTAACAGTCTCTGCTCAATTCAGCTTTTCCCAGATACCACTGACCTTGGGCAGGAAAAGGGCCCAATAAGCACTGACTTTTTCATAGTTCATGACATTTCCTGCCAGATGTGGATAAAAACTAATGTATTTCATAATATGCCTTATTCTAAAGGCACTAAGTCAGGGATTCTCATAGCACCGTCCACAGACCAGCTGCATCAGTATCTCCTAGAAACTTAATAAAAGCCTTGTGGTAGACTCACTGAAACAGAGCCTCTGAGTTGTGGCAAGCCTCTGTTTAACAAGTCTTCTACATGAGTCTGATACCTGGTCAAGTTAAGGACCCCTCAGTAGGCCTGACAGGCTATGCATTCCGGTTAATCTTGCCTGACACCACAAACTCCAAAATCACTGCTCCTGTCTGCACCTGCTCACAAGAGACCTCTAATACCACACAAAAGATGCCTCTCTTCAGCTGCTACAAACATTTTGTCAAACCCTGGGAATGTTGTAGACTCCCTTGGAATTTAGGGAAACCCATTCCTTTTGAACTGTTAATATAATTGAATCCCTCCTTCCTTCCTTATGTTAAAATTATAGCACTGAATGGAATCACAGATTTCAGACACTCAGGCCTTGCCTTTACTTGGTGAGAGTGGCCTTTGTTAGAGATTTAACTAGAAACCTTAGCTTTTAGGCAAATAGTTCAGGATAGCCTTTAAACCTATAGAAGCTCAAGGATAGTAAGGCACTTAACCAGTGCCCTGGTTGGGCCTCCTTCCTCAGCTGATCTGATGTGCAATGGGGAAGCATCTAGAAACCTTAGTGAGATCATGATCATAGGCAAGGGTGTGATTGCTAAGCAAGAAGAAAGCTTAAAACTTTATGCAATCTTTAAAAGGCATTATAATTCTTATATTCCATTTTTGTGGTCCTGGGTGAGCCAACTTTAGCTTGACTTCTTAGGTGACTATTTCTTTTTTATTTTTATGAGTACATGTTTGCATTACAGAGTGTTTACATACCTTGTGTGGAGCTAGTGTATGTCCATAACAGCCTGGTTCCTTTTGCACTCATCTGCCCTGCTGGCTTCTGCTGCATGTTATGCCCACCCATCCACAAGGCACTACTTGGCATCAGAGTCAGTCTTTGACAAGCCTGGGTCCTCAAGTCACAAAGGATCTGTCCTCATCATGTTCTTAACTCTCTGCTCAACTGAATATCTGCATCCAGGTTTAAAACCCCACTAGGAGACAAAGGAAAAGTTCAGAACCGCCCTATTAAAGGTACCATTTGTTTTTTTCTGTCATACCACCTTGGCTTTCCTTTTAGTTTTCATTCTTTTCCTGATCAGAAATAATGCTAAAATAGGCAGTACATATACTAAAATTGGAATAATATAGAGAAGATTAGCATGGCCTCTGCATGATGATGGCATACAAGTTCATAAAGTGTTTCATATCTTTAAAACTATCTACCATGAGAAATCTACAAGTACCACCAAAAAATAAAAATAAAACA